GATTATTATTATCATTATTATTACTATTATTATTATGAGAATAGAAGGAATGATTGAATGAGGATTAGTCAAAACGTTTACAATTACAATGATACAAAATCAATAGTAATGTGAAACCTTTAGAGTGATTTATTTATTTATTTTTCAATAGTGTGGAAGAATTAAACTTGTTCTAAGTCTCATCCCGGATTGATATCATTCAGAGAATCATTGAAAACGAGTCAGGGAGAAATGGAGACAGCTATATCGTCCTAAATTGGGCGAATCTCCAGCAGTACGCACACCCACGATCACCCCTCCCCCACTCCACTCACAAGGAATCGAAACCAAGACCTTCAGGTTACAAGACCAATCCAATTGACCATCCAATCATTTGGGCCGGAAACCAATGTGACTTGTGAATTCCTCTAGCGTCCAATCCTATTAATTTGTAATTTTTGGCGTGATCGCCAACCAATATGATTATTGCAGTGAGTATTCGTTCTCATACCTGAAAACCCCTAGTGTACCACACTGGTCTCGATCCGCAACCTAAAATTTCCTGGTGGTAAAAGTCGACGGTGCACCACGATGAAGAGTCCCAAACTAGGACGAAACAGTTGTCCATTAACACCTCACTAGTTTTGACTGCTTCTCTAAGTGATATCAATCCGTGATCAAATTCAACTTATTCCTACTTAATAGTAGTAGTAGTAGCAATAGTGTTACGTCCCAAACCGGGGTCATGGGAAAAAGAAACATAACAAAGCTTAACCTTGAGGGGCTTACCAACCAATCACAGGAGACTTCAGGCGTGCAAATACGATTCACAGATATGTGGCTTAACTTTCTAAGAAACGGTCACAAAGGCAATAACAGAATAACCTTCAGCAAGAGAACGACTAATCAACAACAACAATGTACATAAAAATCTATAAATATCTCTTGATTTTCTCAATAAACGATCTGTTGCCTGGCCATTGTCTTCTGTCGTTACAGTAGTAGTAGTAGTTGTTGTTGTTGTTGTATTATTAGTAATGATAGAGGAATGAAAATTTATTCTTTCCCTTTGTTTTCACTATTATTATCATCTAATACTTACTTTCCATATCACAAGACATGTCACTCAATAAGTACAACAACACTGGTCCTAATTTCTAGTACATACGCCCCCCCTCCGCACACACACACACACACGAAGAGAAGGAAAGAGAGAGAGAAGGCTATAGATGTCATACATTAACTGACACTGATTTGCATGTGTGTGTGAACGTGTGTACAGATGGGTGGATGTGTATCCTATTACATAATACATGTAAACTGATACACTCCTTTGTTTATTTCTCTTTATTCATTTAATAATGATAGAGATTCATGGATTACTCTTCTCCGATTACATCTATGCAATATCCTCCCTACATTATTATTATTATTATTGCTGATGAAACTGTATCTTCGTGGATTAGTGAGAGAGAGAGAGAGATCTACCTGCAGATTACTCTTTTTTGTATCAATATCTACGTAAGTACATACCCAGGAAGAGTTTATAAAAGTATAGAAGGACTAAGTCAATACTCAGTAACAATAACATCATCAACAACGTGAGAGAGAGAATATGAGAATATAATAAAAGTGAATATGCAGACTTCAACAAACTATGCTGACTGATTAAATAAAACTAGCTGTGACTTGTTCTCGCGTCTACACTGTCAACTTTTAACCATAGGTTTGAATCCTGTGTCCCATTAACAGAGATTTGCGCAGTAAGGTAGATGGGTAGGTAGGTAGGTGTAGTAGTGTAGTCTTTTTAGAGGTTAAGGAGGTAAAACTAAACGATGCAGTTGTAAAGCTACATCAGTTGAGATAGCTAGGGATACAATGTTGTGCATGATATTAGCTGACAAAATTCAAATGAACTGTCATCAAGATTTGACCGAGTAGTTCTAAAATATTTGGGCACCGAGTGAGAAGTAGACATTTCTAAAAAATTATATTTGTAATATCTCAGCGAGATTGAAATGAGTAATTCCAACATTTCTTGTGTTCGGCAATCTGGTCCGAACTTCTTCAGGGAAATTAATCAAAATTAACATAACAGAGGTTTTATATATATGAAAATGGGACATCTCTTGTTTTTAAAAACTGTCCAATCATGAGTCATTCAAAAAGTATCAACAAGTATAGTAAACAAAATTGTATGAGCTGTGATCAAAATTTGACCTCGGACTTACAAATATTGGTCTACCTTTGTTAAACACCTTAAACAGAGTGTATATGTGTGTGTGTATGGGTAAACAGTTGTAAAACATTTCATAACGTCTCCATAAGAAGATATGGACAGTCGAGAATTTTGACCAAGTATTAATAATTAGTGATACATATCCATTTTTATTTATTAATAAGGATTTCCTATGCATCAGCTAACACACATCACACCTTCATGTCTGTTCAAACTGTTAGTATCTAGAATTTTACGATTAGACGTATATTTTCAAAATTATGGTGTTTAGTATTTGAGTTTAGTAGAAGCACCCTGTCGCGACTGTCTATATCTTCTTATGGAGACGTTAAGAAATGTTTTTACAACTGTTTACACACACACACATACACACTCTGTTTAAAGTGTTTAACAAAGGTAGACCAATATTTGTAAGTCCGAGGTCAAATTTTGATCACAGCTCATACAATTTTGTTGATTATACTTTTTAATACTAGTTTAATGAGTCATGATTGGACAAAGTTTTTAAAAACAAAAGATGTGCCTTTTATATATAAACCTCTGTTATGTTAATTTCGATTAATTTCCCTGAAGAAGTTCGGACCAGATTGCCGAACACAGGAAACGTTGGAATTACTCATTTCAACCTCGCTGAGATATTACAAATATAATTTTTTACAAATGTTTAGTTGACAAAAGATTGGGAGTTTTTGGGAAGGAGTTAACTGTGGCCAAACTAAAACTTGGTATTACTCTGTGAAGTCTTTGGCAGCTGATTTGAGACAGTCGCATAGGGAAGCGTAGACTGTCTAGTTGGGGTCATCAGGATTCTGACAATCAACGACTGGAGACTATTCATTAGAACCTCATGTTTTACCACGTTACTATCCTTTTTCCCTCACATTCCTGCTTAATATCGTTTTTTCTGTGTGGGTGTGTGTGCGTGATAAATGCAGTGTAGTGACTTGAACTGTTGTACTTTTATGCAAATTTCTATGTTGAGACCGGTCAGTCACCCAACCAGGGATCATTGAACCTGAGACTTTCAGGTTGTGAGACCAGCTCTTGTTGACCATTCAACCACTTGGGGAACGATTTCAACGACACATGAATTTCATATACGGCAATTTGTGCTGTAACGCGTTAACCGACAAACAATATCTTCCATGAGCGTGTATGTCACCTTGAAACAGAGTAGACAACCCTCCCTCCTACTGGCCACGACCTCTCACGACACAGCTTTAAGATATCCATACAACAATGAGCTGGAGGTTGATATTTATGTTGCTTAAAGGGTTTGTTTTGTAAGCGTTTAGATTATTACCAAGGTAGACTTCAACGATGCCTAACTGATGTTTTGGTTGGTTTGTGATGAAATCTAGTTAACAATTTTGATTGGACACTAGACGACTGAATATAGGACTTTGCACCGATGTGCACCGGTTCGAGTCGCCACACTTCCACTCAGCACACAAAGCCAGAAAAGTAGAAAGTAAAAAGGAATGCAAAATAGAGACAGTAAACAGAGACAAAACGCAAAAAGAGTAGTAACATCGAAAAACAATATAGTTTCATTGGGTATTATAATTCACAAGGAGTAGATGCATCTGCGCTGTTACTGAGAACGATGATTTCGAGCCATGTCACCAATTGTCTCCAGACTTCATTGGTTTCCACCATCCCAAGGAACCCAACCAGCCAGTCACGAATTCTACACCTTCCTACGTGACTAGCTGGCTAGCTTAAACTAACTGTTGTGGATTTCATTGACTGATGAAACCATGTTTTGGTTTGACCACCACTGCCTCTTTCCCAACCTGATCCTATGTCAGTCAGCTAATATTGCCCGTCACTTGAGGAAAGCGATGGCTAGGCATACGTGACACATGTCCCAACCATCTCAGTCGATGTAACTTCACAGCCTCGTCGACTGATTTCCCCTCCCACCCACTCGACCGATGCCTAAACTCAATATTGCTCAACCAATTTTACCACCACCTGACACGGGAGATAGAACGCAGGCACCTATGATCAAATACAGCTAGCCGGTCTTTTCATATCTTCTACTCCCAATGGCCATATCGCACTCACAGCCATCAAGGAGGACGGAGCAGACTGCTGAGCAGTACACACGTCCTTTGGTCGACAGCCAACCAGCTGGATATCACATCTACTAGGCCAGAGAAGGCGTAAACTGGCACATGCGAAACGAGCCTTCTGTATCCATGCTGAGATTTCGTCAGTGATCGACCCGCTTGGGAGCTGGCTGATGCAACATCCCACCCAAATAAGTGAAGTGGTCAACACGCTCCACAAACCACTTCACCCCCCATTTCTAAGTGCTTCTAGTCCTTAGTGCTGGTGCAGACAGAAATCTATCACAGTCAAGTTTGCAATCTTGTCACCATGCTAAGTGACTTGCCATCACGCTAAACTTTGAATTGTTGCTAGCGAATAGTTAGAAGCAATTGGAAGATAGCCCCAACTTACCCAGGTCTCCAGATTGTTGGCTGGCACTCAACAGTCACCCAGGTGTATCTGCAATCTTGAAGGAACTCATGTCTCCCGCCGTCTGGGATTCCAACCCGTTTTACCATCCCATGTGTCGCAGTCAGAGACGTTACCACTGAGCTATTCGGCCTGAGAGGGGACATGAGTTCCTGCTGACTGGTAACTGTTAACCAACAAGCATGAAACCTAGGTTAATCGGGGCTGGCTTCCTGACCAACTGCGACTTCCAACCAAATGTATGAATATCACATAACAAATGAGAGGAGAAAAAACCGAAACTTGATCAACTCACCATAAGTACCAATGCCAATGGGCCCAAATAGATTAACAATGTGAATGAAGATATCAACAGGATACCTGTAAACAATCGTACAGTCCAATTGACCCAACGTGGTGAAAGAAAATTGCTTAAAAAGCTTATGACTGGTGGTACATGCCCTGTGCCTTGATGTAACTTTTCAGCAGCATGAAAATCTGGTTTAATCGGATCAATTGCTTCATCATCATCTTCATCGCTTGTCGTTGGCTTTTTAGATCCGGCTGACTCATCTTGTCCAGCAGTAATTTGCTCCTCTGTAATATTATCCTAGTATGGTTGAAATAAAAAGGAAATTAAAATGTATTATAAGTAAGATGACTGACTGTAAGCATGTTAGAGTATTGATTTATTTGTTTGTTTATTTAACAAACAAAATCTGGTACACTATGTCACACAATAATAATGACATACGAAAAAAGGGAAAAATGGGTAGAGAATGAATAAACGACGTCGTGTACGAAGAAAGCAGTTACATGTAACAAGACCAATTATTTTCAGAAAGAGGAGAAAGAAGCAGACTGCAGCGCGTTCGCCCCTGATTGAGATTCTTCGCCATATCCGACAACGTTTCGAGCCACGTAGGAAGGTGTAGACTTCCTGGTTGCGGTCCTCGGGACGGTAAACACCAATGGTTGGAAACAATTGGTGACATGGCTCAAAATCGTTCTCAATGACAGCGCATATGCATCCACTCTTTATGACTTATGATTTCTAATGAAACTGTTTTGTTCTTCGTTATTACTATTCCTTTGTCTCATACCACTGTTTACTGTCTATATTATGCATTTCTCCTACTTTCTTCTCTTCCTTTATGTGCTACATGCAGTGTGGCGACTTGAACTGCCACACATTGGTGCAAAGTTCTATGTCGTAAACAGACAGACAGACAGATCGAGTCGAGTTATCTATCGAACTCCAACCAGAATGTCGTGATGTACTAACGGATGCTAACCTAACATAAACACCACTCATCTCTCCGCTTCTTCCATCCAGTCCTAGGGCTAGTGAACAGAGTCCGGTAGGTAAGTCTCTGGGATGACATTTGCAGCACATATCCAAGCCACCGAAGCTGGTACTTCCAGATGATGACACTCAATGAAGGGTGATCTCCACTGTGTCCAAATACACACTGCTGGACCTCGGAACTACTCACACAATGACGTCATCGAACGCAAGTAATTCTACGGAGACAGCAATGATCGAATATGCAGAGTCGCTACATATCTTCAGCTCGGAGAAGCTCGGTTTCACAGGAGTAGAGCAATACTTCGCGCACAGAAGCATTGTAAACCTGACCTGTGACAGCTAGGCTAACGTAGCGCATGTCAGTAATGCTAGGGGTTACTTTTTATAACGACAGCTGCACACGTAAACGAGAAAATTCTACTCTCAAGTGTCGGATATTCGAAGTCAATCGACAGAGAACCCTTCCTTATCCGAGTTTCACACTTGCTAGCATTCATCAGTAAGTCGCCATCACATGGCGAAGGGGGAATGTTTCTCACAAAGGTGAATAGGTAAATGCGATTGTTTGGTGTCAAAAAGAAACTGGTAGACATCCTCGTCTACCTAGGGAGGGGAGCTGGAACACCCTAATTTCAAAACTAAATGACGCACATGGGCTCTAGAATCCCACGAGATTAAATGGCGTTTTCGTCACCAACAATCATGAGATTGCAGCTCCTGATGTTACTCACCCCATTATACCACCTAACATGGGAGATAGAACGCAGGCACCGATGATCAAAGACAACTAGCCTCCTCATATCTCCCATTTTCAGTGGTCATATCTCAACCATAGAAGAGGACGGAGCAAACTTGATCGATAGCCAGCTGTATATCATGTCTACGTTACAGATGACGTGAGTTGGGGAATCGCACACAAGAAATATAGCAAGTATTGGACGTTGGCAGGTATACTTATGTTCCTGAATATGTTGATGGGTGAAAATATGAACAATATACCTTTTTCTTGGCCAAAGCTTGACTAGTTGTTGGTCAGCAGTTAGGTGTCGGAAATAGATATTTCATGCAACAGTCTATGAACCACACTCGTCGTTTGAAAACGCAAGTTGAACTATACTTGATCATGTATGAAAATCAAGACAATAGTCTTTTGGTCGGTATATCATCGCCTAAATCACTGGCAATCACCCACAAAACGAACATTGACACAGAAGTGTAGCCTACAACCATAAGAAAGAATACTAATTTCATGCTCTATCGACTTTAGGTACATCGATGGAAGAATGCTCGCCAACCATGCATGTAGTCCGGGGTTCAATCCCCTGCCGATACACTCCTTAAATCTCTCAGCAATGGACCACACCCCCTAAAGTGATCATACCTGGTCGAACAATCCTGATAAAAGAATAAAACTTGTGCACTGTGGTAGAGTGTAATTCCATTATGGGTAAATTTTATTCTGATAAAGTCTCATAGTGTTATACAGTAATGTTTATTGATGACCACGTTTCGAGCACAATTTATTGCTCCTCATAATCATATCAAGGTAATCACACGACTTCCTAAATTCATTTATATAGTTCCGTTGTTTTTCACTTGATTTGATTGGTAGTAGTATTTTCCATATTTCGGGTATGAGTGATGAATCATTCCTATTGCATGTGTTGGGTGTAAACTTGATGAACCAGGCAGGATTCAGTAATCAACCATGGTTGACCCCAAGAAGATAAGTAATTTAGAAAAAAGCTCGGCAATTGCAATGCATGCATTAACACACAACCACACAATAGGTTGGGAGAGGGTTAAAATTCTAAAAAGTAATATAGGTAGCTGGAGATAGAGAGAGATTGATTACTGAATCCTTGTTCATCGAGTAAATCTACACCCAACACATGCAACAGGAACGATTCATCACTCATACCCGAAATATGGAAAATATTGCTACCAATCAAATCAAGTGAAAAACAACGGAATTATACAGATGAATTTGGGAAGTCGTGTAATTACCTTGATATGATTATGAGTGGCAATAAATTGTGCTCGAAACGTTGTCATCAGTAAACATTACTGTATAACACTGTGAAACTTTATCAAAACAAATTGTACCCATCAGGGAATCCTGATAAATGTAGTAAGATTCGAGTGAGTGCTTTAGTTTTTTTTTAAAGTCCCACTCCAATCATAAACAGGTAACAGTGAATGTTTTCAGATTTATTTAGGATGAATAGTACACTGCATCGTCAGCAAAAGATCAAACCAAATAAATCGATGTTTGCTTTTTTTTATTCTGAGAGCACTTACTGTTCTCTGTCTCACAATTTGATCGTCTTCACTCATTATCTGTAACAATCAAAATTGTCAAGCCAGTAATAATAATGGTGACAACGGTGGATATTATCCAGCTTTTTGTTTTCTTTTTCTCTCCAGTAATACGTCCACTCAGAATATCGAATTTGATGATTTACAGTAGAAAGCGTTGGGATAAACAAATCTAAAATGGTACAACACAGGATAACACCATAAACTTAATCGTCAATAAAATTCAAATATTTTAAATTACAACATGGTGCAGTAATGTATAAAATTGGAGATTTGTAGCTCAGGTGGATGATTTTCATGTGGTTGTGTTCTCTGAGCAGCTGGATAGTAAACTTGCGAAGCTCCCATCGCCCTATTACGCAACATTTTCAGCGCATACTTCAATTTTTTGAAGTGAGCTTTTTAGATTTCTTCACGAGTTTATTAGTCATGTGTCCTGGTGACCTTAAATGTCGTGATTGGTTGTTTTTGTGTGTTTTCTCACCCTCTAGGCTACTTACTTGTATTGGAACTGATTGTTTCTCTGACTTGAACTTTGACCCTTTGTGTGTGAGATTTCTTTCTTGTGGGTTGGGAAATTTTGTCCATTTCGATGTGTCTATTGATTGATAATTCGCTGGAATACTAGGCAGGCTTCTAAAAATTCTCTAGCATTCTTGGTGTTTCCTCTATCTAATATTTGAACGCTGGTTGTCCCAGTCGAATTGATGTCCGTGGTTGTTTGTATGTAGTGATATGAGGGAGTGGGTGTCATGTCTTTTGACGACTAGCTTCGATGTTCATGGATACGAAGACGAAAGGGATGTCCACTTTGGTCAATGTAGTGTTTTTCGCAGTTGTTACAATTTATTTTGTAGATGATGTTGGTTTTATTTCCTTTCGCTGTGGAGTCTTTTGGTCGACATAGAACTGAATGAAGTGATTTTGTTGGTTTGTATGCGACGTCAATTCCTAATGGTTTGAAGAATCTTGCAGTGATTTCTGAGATGTCCTTTACATATATATATATATATGGTAGGACGATTTTTTTGTGCTTTCCATGGGGGCCTTTGATTTAGTAGGTTGGCTTGGGGGGGGGTTAGATATCTTTCGATGAGGCCTAGTGGATATCCATTCTTTTGGAAGACGTTCATGAGATATCTTTCTTCAATTTTCCTTATGATGGGAGTACTGCAATGAGTCCTGGCCCTCTTGAATAGTGTTTGCATACAATTCCTTTTGTGTGTTATTGGATTGTTGTTGTTGTAATCCAGTATTTGGTCTGTGTGAGTTGATTTTCTATAAGCTTGAGTTTCCAATTCCCCTGTGGTTGTTCGCTTGACTAAGACGTCCAAAAAATGGGATTTTATTGTCGGATTCCATAGCATCACCAAGAGTTTACTTTATGGGATGTACAGAATCGCTACTAAACAATTTAAAAGGTAACCATAAAACAGCTGAAAGCTTAAGAAATCAAAATTTCAGCTCTGTGTGACAATTCACATTAAAGTTATACAATTTGGAAAGTCAATCAGTCTTGCCAAAAACAATATAAATAACCTGTAAGCTCAGCAGTGAAATAAAAACAGGAAAAATAAATAAAAATTTTCTTTAATAAACATGAACACTTAAATTTTGACATGTTTACTAAAACAGACATGCAAAGCATTGACGAAAATGAGTATGAAATTGCCAAGACATTGAAACAAATTTCAAAACCATTATGCTATTTAACCAACTAGCATGTTGTCTGTTAGCATCTATAATATATCAGATGGTTGGAGGCAATTGACAGGAAACCTAACACCTAGGTTTCGTGCTAGTTGGCACTTACAAGTCAGCAAAGTGTGTTTGAAACCTTGAAAGAACTCATTTCTTTTCTTCTGAGATTCGAACCCGCGTCACCTAGGGCCGCCTGCAGTCAGAGACATTAAACAATCCATTCTCTCAACAAGGATTATCCAAACTTCCTATTTATTTCTATAATTTTTACGTTTTTCAAATCCCTATTCACTTTACTATATTTTTTATCCGAACTTAATGTCTATTTTGTTAATACTACATTTTTATTCCCTAAAAAGAAGAATGATGCTTGGAAAGGCTTCGTGTGCTCTTGGAGGTGTGTCGGCGGTTGTTACTTCCTGGCTGCCCTCACCGTGGAAGTTGGTCGGTTCTTCGAGCACCTGAAACAGAAATAGGGTTAGCGTTGTGTGACCGCAGAGCCCAGAGGCCGGTCACACACAGCCTGTATAAACTGGTTTATTGGTTTGGTTTCGCCGGTTACGGACCACCGTAGGGTAAGTCGGGATGTACAATTGTTGGGGTAGAACTTTTCTAACCCCCTCTCTCCAGAAAGGAGAGACAGCATAGCTGGCATGCCGGTCATCTGAGGGAAACACCTCACTGCTGTTGCACCCTTGTTCTCTAGCAGTACAACTTCACCCACAGAACCCCCAGCATAGTGTAAAAAAATTTTCACTAAGCCGGTAACTGCTTTTAGTCTAATCGCTATCCTAACAACCTTCCTGGCATGGTAAGAACTGCAGGAACACTAGTTCCAGCCAGTGTAGCTTGTTGAGTCTTTGCGAGACTTCAAGCGAACGTAGAAAAGACAAAGTTGATGATAACCAACCAGCCACAATTAATATGAACAGAATAAATCTGAAAGAGGTTACTTCCTTCACTTATCTAGGAAGCATTGTTCCAATTAGAAGCACTCGGAACGGGAGACCATCAAAACAAGAATCGGAGAGGCTAGACCAATTAGGTGTAACTCCGTTACATGACTTTGACAAATTACAAATGTATCCTATAGTCAATTTAGGATAGATATTTGTGAAACACAAGTGATTTGGATTAGAAAAGAATAACCATCACTACAAAGCAGACAGAGACCGATCTACACTATCGAAATTTTATTTATAGTACTTTAAATAAGACTGTTATTCGATATCTTAACAAAGGAAAATGTGTCAAATATGTCCGCATCGTTCTAAGCTAAATCGCAAAGTCGATGTTTCACATATCTGATACTGCAAATGTATATTGCGACTGTATTCCTACGAGCACATGATCAATCCAAGTGGTAGAAAAAAAGTGTAGCTCAAAGAAGTTTACTACTATTTGCAGCCAAAAGTATCTTAAACCACACTACCTCATATTAGTCACAATATTGACAAAAAAGAGGGTATACATTTCATAATTAGCTTAGGGTGCACATACATTCATGCAAAACTCCACACCAAGAGGGCCGATTTTAGTAAAGATCACTATTAGGATGTAAAATTTAGTCATATTTTCAACAACCACACACAAATCAAAAACTCTTAATCTTCTCCTTACGACTTGGTGGATGATGGCTATCAATAGAATCCAAAACGTGCATTTTTGTCCTATTTGGGTCTTGAGTCTCCAGTGATCGATAGCGACTAACCACCTGCACACATCGTTTCAAACACCAAAGTTTTGTTCAGTAAGCGACAAGGCCACTTACAAAACTGTTCATTCAGCTCACACTCCATTATGTCAACTACATTGGCATGATGCACGCTATAGAATGATAACTTACTACCCAGAAAGACCACGAAACACAAATTTGTTGCAATGAAGCACAGAGTTGATACGACGGACATACGCATTCCACTTAAACTGTGTGGAATATGCCTTTCAACTTATAGGGTAACTAACATTTTACAGCCTATAGAGTCTAAACAAGATTCAAAATACACGAAACGTCAGTGAATCCAAGAATGCTGACAGCAGTATATCTACATGTGCTACTGCAAGCACTTCAACAAATTTACATATATAATAGTAACGTAATCTGACAAATTACTAGACCTCAGATGTCTGGGCACCTTCGCAGAGTTTCAGATGTAAACAAAGGGAGCAATACCATAGTAGCAATCCACTGAGTATTATAAAGAGCATGACTTAGTTAACGCAGTAATCAAACGCTTAATCGTTCTGAAACTCGTTAGATAAATCCAGAACCGAAGGTGTGATTTGATTTTGTTATAACACCTGCAACTCTAATTGGTTGTTTAAGGTTACATACCAGGGTGGTTGCTAAAGCTTAACTACACCAAAAGTACAAGGTACCAATTTGAAAATCTTCAGATGTCCACCCACGAAATACAGACCGACATCTCTTACTCAATGACTTTATCTCCACTTTATTTTACCCATTCAAAAATGATCATGAGGAGAGATGGAAAACATTACTATCAATAAAATCATAGGTTAAGTAATAACAAGATGGTTTTTACGAAGATGAAAAGATATGTGAGTCCCTTCATATGATTATGACTGACAAATTATACTCAAAACTTTATCACTAAATCACAATGTATAGCTAATTTTTTCATAAAATAAAATTATTCCAAGATGGAAGATTTCTGATGAGTAACAAAAATTATCCGTGTCAGGTAACCTGGGGTTTTATACAATTTTGTAGTCAATGTGTTGCTCTATATAATGATCGTATGGAAATACCCCCCACCCCCCTAAGAAAAGGACTTATGGCCACAATAATGTAAGTTGTTCATGCGATAAAATAATATTCACCAAATTCTAGACAACATATAACTGACTTCCTAAACTCTCAATAATATTACCGAAATTAAATATGCAGGCAAATATCACTAAAATATTTAACTGTACACACGTACGCTTACAGACCACTTAATAAAATATCTAGTGATTCCACCTGTCATAGCTATGGAGCAGTATTAAAAGCTAAATTAACTACGACAAAAGTAAAGATGAATATTACATTTATGTGAACTTTCGGAAAATTATCAAATACATATACGTGTATTCAAGCGTATAGTATAAAATGCGACCAGAACTTGCAATTTACCCACACCTCAAGGTCAACGATTCTCAAAACAACGGTTCCCACTATTCTCTTCAGTAATAGATGTGAATGATTAAAACACGGCTGAACTAATTTGACACGTCGGTTGAAATTTCTCTTGAAACGTTTTTGTGGATAATTCTGAATAAGATTCTTAATCGTCTGTTCTCAGGATTGATGAGAATTCTCACTGTTTGGCATGTCATATTCGTGTCCACGTCATGTAGTCTAATTGAGAAACACTCTTAGCATTTTGGTTGCAATGGTTCATGTTTCGGGCGAACTCTATTGAAATATTGCTATAATGAGCAGGACGGGATACTCTGAGGGCGGTATCGCTTAAAAATAGTCTACTTCCTGTAGAAGCTACACTTTTTCGCGTAGTACCATTCTGTGAAGACTTCACATGTCTCACGATATCAATACAGCCTATTTTCGTGTGAAGCACAGCACCGTTTCACAAGCGAATGATATCAGTAAATGGAAGTCACCTAAAATTCCAACAGAACCTCTGAGAACAGGAGTTGTGTTGCGAATGCATTCTTCACCGTATGTGTGTTTTGACAGGAATTATCTTAAGTTGAATGGTTATCTGTAAGTGAATTCAATACATAGTTGCACTGACTGGTGCTCTTTGATGTGGATTCAATGTGTGTATCTCAACTTTATGAATGTTGCGCTACTGTATGATTATTTGAATCTCATAATTGTTGCAAGTGCAGTGGAGAAGGTGTGTGCGTCGGTGGCACAGTGGTTAGAATTCTCGCCGACCATGCACATGGTCCGGGGTTCGATCCCCTGCCGACGCACACCCGATATCTATGGTCGGCCTGCAAAATTTTTGCTACCGATATCCATGCTGAAAATTCCATACTTGTACTGAAAATACGGTGTGGAATCAAGCTGTAATCAAAATGAATATGTAAATAAAATAACTGTCTGTTTAATTTGCTTCAGTGTATCACTTAATAAATAATTAGGTGTATGATCTAAGTATGCACATGAATTGAGTTCATTATGGGAACTTTTCTTTATCACCCAAAATAGGGGTGAATTTGTTCTAAACTTCCCATTTACGTGAAGCAGTACAGATGTAGTATGACGACTGAATGTCTGGGCTACATTATTTGGCATTGTTATCCTCACAAAAACAATTTATGTGTATCTCACAACATTTTAAGTATTGATCTATGCTGCGTTAAAGCTGAAAATAACGAACCTTATATATAATGGCTATAGTTTCCTAAAAATGCAAATGTAATTTCTGAGGGATTCTCAAAAACCATGTTCACTAGACATTACTGAGATTGTGGATGAATTTCTAATTTAAAAATAAGCAATACTTTCTTTAAAGTAAACGTAATCAGTGTGAAGTTAATATGCCTTTTAAATGCATGGAACGCAAGTAATATTGATGAGAGAATAATTCCTTCACAGTATGGACAATACAGAGACTGCCTTGATATTTGCTCATAATGCTGTAATACAGGAAGAAAAATGAGCTCTGCATATGTAAATTGTCGCGTGTGCTACCGGTAATATTGATCACTGGTATATATATGTATATAAAGAGCAGTTCATCGCCATAAAAGCATCAAGTATCAAGGAGATAAATTTGATATCAGAGAAGGCAAATGGTACAGCGTTGTGGAGATACATGAAAGAAGTGAAAAGAACACAATGAAACACACACAATGAAGGGCCAGAAGTATCACAACACACAGGTCTGTACAAATTGTGCGTTGAAGATAAGGTGTACATAATTCGGCTACATAGAGATACCAAATTGAAAATAAGAATTCCTTTACCAAGCCTTTCGTCTTCTATCGTTACAACATGGTGTATTAATTTAAAATGATTAATATGTTTGTATAATTTTCTCAGAACTTTGATCGAAGGTAACATCAGGAGTGAATTGTACTCCATGCAGACGAATATCAGCCATGACCAGACAGATTCGTTTTACTGCACCAAAGTCAGCCATTACCGCCATTTGCCGCTGCATGGTGTTCTGTGCAAGTCAGTTGATTGAGATGTAGAAAACTATTTGTAAACCAGTTGCATCTCCATTTTAGGCCATGGTTACTGCTCGTATCGGATGTTATACAGCGTCCTTATGTGGTGACGGGATTTTTCAATGATTTTGAGTTACTACGAGACAAGAGCTTGAAGGATGATGTGGTATACATAAGCATGTGACTTCATGTCCTCTTCAAATTCCGTCTTGCTGCAGATCTGTGCAACTTCCGCTACAGACCAAACAGACGAAAAGAGGTGAGCAGCAGAGTACCAGAGAGGAAGGAAAAAGTATGCGGACACAAATGGAACCTTAATATCTGTGTATATATGTTTATATTCACTGTACATTACTGTCTAGTAAACCTACATATTAATTTCTACTTAGTCTTTTTATGCGTCTATGCGACTAGTCTGTCTATCGCTTATGGATTAATCAAGGAATTTTGCGCGTTCTTTAGATACTGTAGTACTCTAGAAATTGATTCGATTAAGAAATAAATAGTCTGTTAATGTAATCAGTGGAGTGAGGCAGAGAGCTTTTGAAACTTATAATTGACATGCAAGTTCTGGTTTCTAGGGCAGGCTGTTCCATATTTTAGAATACATGACTGTGGAGAAGTTTTCGCGGAGTGTTGATTTAAAGGCCTTCATTGTTACTGTGCAAGTTCGGTTACGCAGATCGTAGGAGCCTTGCGGTGAGAAATGTATGTCCTCATTGCCTGAGAATGATATTTTGTGTAGGAACTTAAAGAAGAATATCAGGTTTATAATAAGTCGTCTCGTCCAAAGTGAGTCAAGATTTAGAATCACGCACCGTGAGATGTAGTCTTTCTTACAATCGTAACCAAGTAGTTTGGACGTGAAATATCGTTGGACACTTTCCATCTTCAGCTTGTCACATATGTGAGTGCTGCTAATAATGGTTGGTTATATCAAACAAGAATGATAATTCTGACCGTTTCCGTTAATGCGTCGACTGAACAGAGCTGTCTAAGTAGGCAAGTCAAAGGGGAAAGAAACAATGTCGCGAAATTTCAGCGTGGGGCGAACTGTGTCAAGACTGTTTTCGGAGAAACATTTATTTGGTAGATAGGTGAATCATTTTATTATGGTGCTGGTTTTGACTTCACTGGGCAAGAAATTTCATATTCGTTTATATTTAACAGTAAAGAAGTTGGAACCAGACTTCGTTCGACAAAGAATATAACCTAGAGAAGACCCGTTGCTGAGTAATTCATACGCTGAAGTAAAGGCCATTGTTGGGAAAGTTTACTATTCGTTTGAGAATTTTAAATAGGAGTATGAGATTAAGTCGTTGAAGCCTGAATCCAAGGGGTTCTATCTTAAGGGTTGTGCGACTTGAGGAACTTTTAGACTCGTCCCTAATATTCTACTTGTAAATCTCCTTTGGACACTTTCAATCATTAGTCTGCTCTTAATAGAGGTACTATCTAGGATAGATGGACAGTATTCAAGGAGAGGCTGTATGTGCGTTTTATACAACAGCACTTTAGACTCTTGGGTTTGAAAGTGTTGAAGTATAAGTGCAAGTAATCTTCTGGCTTTAGAAATCTGGTTTGTAACATAGTGAGAGGACTTTAAATCAGCAGAGTAACGGAGCCCGAGGTCAAGTACGGAAGGAAATATGGTGATGCGATGCGAAGTTGAGCTGAGCATAACAGACCACACTTCTCCACGTTGATCTGCATCATCCACGACTTACACCAAGTCTCAAAATGATCAATTTCCAACTGGATTTTACGAATCCGATTTGTCACTTCTCGGGTGGTACTGTGGTAATCTGCCATCAGGTCATCGGTACGTTGAAAGAGTCTGCCATTCCTTATAGCATCAAAGACGTCATTTGTGTATATAAGAAAGATGAGAACCTACAACACTACCTTGAATTACCCCGCTTGATATAGTGGTGGTACTAGAAAATGTGTCGTTAATATTAACAGTTTAAGACCGACCACATATGCGTGAATGACACCACTGTAAAGGATTGCTGGCCATTGCTGGTCGTGCCTGTAAAAATGGCATGCATTTCTTGTAAACCTACCCGTTTATACTAAATATAAATTATTATCATACCGTAAGTCTCTAGTTTTTTAAGCAGTAACCTATGGCATATCTTGTCGAATGACTTCAAGAGAGCAATATACAAAATGAGTACAACGAATTTTCCATCTGTAAGTTCAGTTATAAAATCAAATATTTCCAAGTAGCAAGTCATACATCGCCTGGACGTTACTAAACTGTGCTGAGAAGGTGTTTTGAGGTTTTCGATCAATAAGAAGTCAGTGATTTTAGTACTGAATAACTTCTCAAGTGTCCTTGGCAAAACAGATATTGTATTGATCGGTCTATAATTCTTGAGCAGGATTTAAATCTGGGGATAACATATGTCTGCTCCCATTTAGAAGGATTAAATGAGTTCATAAGGAGGGAGGGTGGAGCATGCTGATCAGCAGATTTGGTAGTGGTCACAAATGTGAATCGCTCCGATCTGTAGGACAGCAACATGCATTATTTTGGCAGCTCGAGAACTAAACATGAGTTTAGATACTAAATGTATAAAAAAATAGACTTTAAAAAAAAAATTAATGGAAAAAATAAAACAATAATGACTGTACAGTTTTAGCTTGTATAAAAATAACAATGCTTTCGCTCCTAACATCTACAAGCCTGCTCAGTTTCTTGTCAAGATGCTATCCCATGGGCCATACACAAGTCCGCCAAACATCCAACAGGTTCTAGTCCTTCTAGCCACTTCTCTCTGAAATGTTACTTATATACTTCACAATAATCCTTCTACCTAATTACTATAATACTCTATTTTACCTCAACTTCCTAGCACTTTAATGAAGCTGAAATTTTTTCCCTCTTCTCATTTACACCCTTTTCTCGCGTAAAGTTCGGTTGCTCTGATGATAAAAACAACAACACTCATGTTTGAGAATAAATATATTTTCATAGCGTCATAGTTTTCCATGGTAAGACCAATATGGTTAGCATCATACATT